CTTTCAAATATGAAGACTCTCTGGATGTTTGTCCCAGATGAGATACATTCCACCATGAAATCACTTTCAAATCATCCAAAGAAACCACTATATATTTTAGGAATTTAACCTGTGGCTTTTTTATATACTACAGTACAGCATTTTATTAACAGCTGCATGCCATGCCCCTCTTTGAAGCGGACTTGCGGCATGACATTCTGCAATACTTGCTGAACTGAACACTTACTTGCACTACTAATACTTGCACTAAAATGTGGGATGCAAGGCCACAAAGTGATTGTTGTTCTTTCCAATATGTTCTGTCTTATTCTTTAGAATAAGCGACAAAACAGGAGTAAAACAATCCTTTACACTTGGAGACTTGCTGCGACCATCCTGCCTTCAAACTTTGCTATCAAGGGAGAGTATAATGATACTTAAGGGGAGAGAGCCCAGGGAAAAGAAATCATCTGGTTTGAGCCCATTTGAAGTGCCGTGGCTTCATGCTATGGGATTCTGGGAATTGTAGTTTGTAGGGAGTTCTATAGCAGGGAGCCATGGTGCTTCAAGTGGGCTCAAACTGGATTATTTCTGCAGTCTAGATGTAGCCCAGGTCTGCATGATCAGACAGATGTAGGAAAAGTATAGGAGTCAATCCCTTTCTGGTGCAGTTTAGAGTTAAATATTGGGATTAAAGTCTAAAATTGAAGAAGGGGGCATTTTACACTCTTCTTTTAAAAATCAAAAACCATGACTATAGGGTGCCTGGTGTGCAACCTAGGTCTGCATGATCAGATGTATGGAAAGTATGGAGTCAATCCCTTTATTGTGCAGTTTAGAATTAAATATTGGGATTAAAGTCTAAAATCGAAGAAGGGGGGATTTTACACTCTTCTTTTAAAAACCAAAACCCAAGACTAAAGGGTGCCTGGTGTGCAACCCAGGTCTGCATGATCAGATGTATGGAGAGTATGGAGTCAATCCCTTTATGTTGCAGTTTAGAGTTAAATATTGGGACTAAAGTCTAAAATCGAAGAAGGGGGGATTTTGTACCCCTCTTCTTTTAAAGCCAAAGCCCATGGCTCCAGGGTGCCTGGTGTGCAACCCAGTCCAGCCCTGAGCCCTTTCCCTGGAGTCGATGGAGGCTCTGCTGATTAGCAGCAATGGTGGCTCGACTTGGAGGAAGCCTGTGTTACCTGGGGTTGTTCCAAGGCGCTTCACGAGGAGGGGATCCACACCACAACCCGGGATCGAGCCCCGTCGGGGAGAGGACACCCCCGAGAACCCACCTGCGCCTTTTTAATAGCCGATTTCCCCATTGCATGGCTTTAATTTACCAAGAAAAACAAAACTTTCCCTCCTTGGAGGGCTTCAGGGAGGGTGCAAGAGGAGCTCCCCAGCCCTTTTAAAAAGGATCCCGGGCTTTTTCCAGCCCGAGAAGCCAGATCTAGAAGGAGGACCCTTCGGCCTTTCCGCGGGTGGGAAGATGGGGGGATTTAGTGGGGGATCTGGGGAGAAACTGGACCTTTATTAACTCCAAAGAAACACAACCTGAGCCCTGAGAAAGGATCCCTGCTTTTTTTTTTTTTT